CAGCCTACTTCGCCCTTACATCCCATCCACGAGCCAACTGCCACGAAATCGACCAGCCAGCATGACACGTCCCCCAACCGAACCACTCATCACCCCTGAAAAAATCCTCAGCCACCGAGTCCGCGACCCTCGGGGAGCCCGAAGGATAGAGTTCCTAATTCGCTGGAAGGACCGAACGCCCACAGAAGACAACTGGGTCCCCCTGGATAAAATTGAGAACCACCCTGTCTTCCCCGAGTATCTGCGAAGCCGAAATTTCCGCGACGTCCATGCGCTCTCGTAAGAGGGGCCTCCTTGGGAGGGGGGTAGTGTAAGGAAATTCCCTTTTCCTTACTTCGCGTCCCTGCTCAACGCGTACGTCACTGTAGCACCTCAGTCAGCACCGTTACCACTCACGACCATCGTATCATTCATTATCCCGCCCTCTTCGCACATCGCATCCCAACCTCACGGCTCGGCTGGTAACCCGCGCTCCGGGCCTACGCTTCGACACTTTCCCAACCTCAGCCCCAGGCTCGTCGCGCGACAACCACAGTCCATTACCGTTACCACTATTGTTTCGCTATATAATCCTTCGCTCATGCCTTAGCTCATTGTACTCTTTGCTTCGATAGTGCAATTCTCGTTCGTTCACTCAATTGCATTCGTAACACTCCAGCATGATTCGAACCTACTACCTTCGTACCTAACGCCTTTCCCCTACCGACTGCACTAGCGCTACTGCACAGACTAGCAACATAGTTTTTATAGATTACATGACTTAACGACGAATCTGACACTTGGTTAGGTTAGCTCTTCCTTTCTTTCTCCCTCCCTTCCGCTCGCTGGTTTAGCTCCCCGCTACTCACGCCCCACCTACCCGTTCCTACTAAGGTGAGAACAACTCTACCTTACCGTTTCAAGTAGAATTAAGTTACCTGATTTCTAGCGAGACTAGCATGCGTTAATCTCGTACCATAGTTGTTTACTCTTGTGTTGGCCGCGTTTTAAAAAAATAGTTGGATTAAGCCTATGTTCTAGGTTCTAGGTATTCGTTTTCTCTTTCTCTTTTCTTCTCGCCAGTGGAGCTTGTTCTTTTGCCTCACGCTACTTACGCTCCACCTACCACTCCAAGGTCAGAAAGTTTAAGATGTCATTTAGAGTTGTTAGCTCATGGTAAGATGTAAGCTCTTATTGTCGTCATTTACTTCCTATTCTTAGTTAGCCCTCCCTTTCCTACTTCCTCTCGTTCTGCTGACGGGCTACGGGACTTCCGCTAGGTAAGCTCCTAACTTGCAACTTAAACGCGTTCGATACTTGTTAGGTCGACTTAATTCTAACACAGGACGGCGTAGATCTAAACTACGGTAGGTCGGCTTAGATCTTGTTTTTACACATGTTTTTTTTTTCGAAATCGTAGAAATCGTAATTTATTGAACACTCTCTCTATCTCTCGTTCGTTCTCGCTCGTTCTCTCTCTCGTTCTCTCTCTCTCTCGTCCTCGTTCTCTCGTTCTCTCTCTCTCGTTCTCGTTTTCTCTCTCGTTCTCTCCCTCTCTCTCATTCTCTCTCTCTCTCTCTCTCTCTCTCTCTCTCTCTCTCTCTCTCTCTCTCTCTCTCTCTCTCTCTCTCTCTCTCTCTCTCTCTCTCTCTCTCTCTCTCGTCCTCTCTCTCGTCCCCTCTCTCTCGTTCCCTCTCTCTAGTCCTCTCTCGCTCTTGCTCTCGCTCTCTCTCTTCGTTGTTCTCGCTCTCTGTATTCGTTATATTCTCTTCTTTCGTTTACTGTCTCGGTATTTTGTTCCTCTATTCCCGTTCCTTATTTTCGTTTTATGCCTCGTTAGATTCTTCTCCATGCTCTTTGTCAAGTCTAACCATTCAATGCTCACGGCGTTTTTCTGAGCCCTTGTATTGATTCATTTGTTTCTTCGTTATTCCTGTTTCTCTTCATTTCATCACACCTTATGCCTTTTTTTCTGTTTTGTTTGTTGTACCGGCTATTCATTTCCGTTCCTCCTTTCCACTTCCTAAACCCGTTTGTCAGGGGCCTTTCCGGTCAGGAACGCGATTTCAATCCAGAAAATGTGTATTGTGTCAGAATATTATTCTTATGTTCTAGCCTGTAGTGGGGTGCTCTATAGCGAGTACAACCCTTCTAGGGTTTGCTATTTGTATCCCCATTTCTGCTAGTTCATTCCTCTTTCTTTCTTCTAACTTTGACATGCTATCAGAGCAGGTCGATCCCCTTGGATCGATCCTGTGGGTGTGTCCCCACCTTGCTTCCGCTGCTACTTTTTCATCCCGCCGTGCGCCCCGAGGCGCGCGGCGGTTTTCTGCCCGCCGTGCGCCCCGAGGCGCGCGGCGGTTTTCTGCCCGCCGTGCGCCCCGAGGCGCGCGGCGGTTCATTGCCCGCTGTGCGCCCCGGGGCGCGCGGCGGGCTTCTCCTCTACGTCGCGGCCCCGCCCCGGCCCGTCGCCGCCCGTGCGCCTGCCCGGCTCGGCCCCGCCCTTCGTCGCGGCCCCGCCCCGGCCCGTCGCCGCCCGTGCGCCTGCCCGGCTTGGCCCCGCCCTACCTGTCGCGGTCCCGCCCCTCCGTCGCGGCCCCGCCCCGACCGTCGCGGCCCCGCCCCTCGTCGCGGCCCCGCCCCTGCGTCGTGGCCCCGCCCCTCGAAGCGGCCCCGCCCTACGTCGCGGCCCCGCCCCGGACCCTATGCGGCCCCGCCCTACCTTCGCGGCCCCGACCCGTCGCGGCCCCGCCCCTCGTCGCGGCCCCGGCCCCGTCCCCCCCCCCCCCCCCCCCCTTTTTCTCCCCTCCCCCCCAATTCCCGTCGTCCGTCGTGGCGACCTGAGGGGGCCGCAGCTGTGGGGTGGCGGGTATGGGGGTGGCCGGTGTGCCTTCCTCCCTTTCTCCTCCTCCTCCTTCGTCTCCCACTGCTGCAGCTGTCGCTGAGGGGGGTGGTTGTGTGGGAGACTGGGGTTTAGGGTTTTAGGGGGGTGCGTGGGAGTAGAGCTAGTGGTGTAGCAGTGGGTGTGTATCAGGGGGGTGGGACTGTGTGCGAGAGGTTGAGTGGAGGTTGTCAGTTTGTCGTTCGCAGCACCTGTAGTCCGGGGCGCTGTCCCGGTAGCCCAGTCGTAGCCAGCTGTGCCAGCCGCCCGTGGGTCCGTTGCCCGTCCGCCGCTATTTGAGCCGCGGGGCCTGTTACTCCTGTAGTCCGGGCGCTGTCCGGTAGCCGCTGTGCCAGTCTGCCTCCTGTTGCCCGTGTGTCTGCAGCTTCAGCCGTCGCCTCCTGTCTCCTCTCCCCTCACTCTCCCTCCTCCTCCTCACTTGCCCGTTGTGACTACCACTAGCTTTGCTTATAATTGTGAACTCTAAACTATTTCTTCTTGAACTTGTGCTCAGAATGTGTGGTGACATTGTGATCCACCCTGAGCTTGTTTTGCTTTGCCTGCTCTGCTGATTACACCCCACTTTGGCTATGGGGGTGTGTCAGAATATTATTCTTATGTTCTAGCCTGTAGTGGGGTGCTCTATAGCGAGTACAACCCTTCTAGGGTTTGCTATTTGTATCCCCATTTCTGCTAGTTCATTCCTGTTTCTTTCTTCTAACTTTGACATATTGGTTACTAGGATTTATCGTATTGTCCTTTTAACATTGATTTACTTGTTATGTAGTTCGCGTGTATCTCGTGTTTTTTGGCTGGGTTTGCCGGAGCTCGTGTTTTTTATTGTGTGAATGTGTTTGTTCGTGTGAGTGCATTCATCTCATCTGTCATTGCAATATCAATGCATGTCTGTCAATTTTAAAAAGGGGGTTCATTTCTATCATTTCTCATTGGTTCATTGGCGCACTCAGTGACTCGTGTGTTTGCCACTTCGAACTGGATTTGATAGAGTGAACCTCTTTTTTAGAGTTAACAGATTGTATATTTTCATGTGCTAGTTGATTATTCAAAGATTTTGCTATTGACCTCCCCCCCATGCTAGGCAGGGGATGGCGATAGCTTAGTTTTTAGGTTGTTAACTGTCACGCATTTTATCATGTGCATGTGCATCATTCATCACATATCACATGCATTATATACATCACTCTATGCATTATGCATTGTATAGCATCATTTATGCATTACGCATGCACCTCTTCATCATTACACAACATCATCTAACAGTAACATATAATGCAAACAGTACAACAAATCTCCACTAAACAATTGCAAAATATTCATATGGAATAATGCACTATGAACAGTACCGCATTCAAAACTGCTCAGCATGCATACAGTATGGGAAGGGTAGTACTGTAGTTGACAATTTTTATTTTCATGATTTTTTAAAAAAATATAAACATGAAAATAAAATTTGGCAAAATCGATCGTAAAGGGTTGCTTCGCAACCCAAAAAAAAAACAAATTTCTAGTTGGACCCAACTCGAATTCAGGGTCACTATTTTGCCTGCTCGCTTTAAGAGTGGTATTATAGCTTCCTTTTCTGGAATGGGCTTATTTAACTAAGAATACAGCATTTGCCCTTTCCATACTCTTATCTGAAAGCATGAAAGCCCATTGATCAATAATTAGTCTGAAACTATAAGCTTACTCGTGATTAACCTACATGTACTGTTGTGCCCTTTATCGCAACGTCGGAATTTGTTTTTTTTCTGTAAAAACCGCTGCTGCAAATCCATGGATAGTAACCAGAATCATTGGCTCCTTTTCTCAAACGATCACCGCCTATCCCCGCTATGGTAGCTCTCGATTTGTTAAACTTCACCCGCTGATGGGCTCAAAGGGTCAGACGTCCGTCGCGCCGCGAGTGCTGACGTCATGGCGCGTCTCCTGGTCCCTCTGCTGCACTCCCCACAGCAGATTCGCCGCCGCCAATCGCCGTTGCCTCTTCATAGTCCTAGCCGTCCTGCTCTTTTTCATTTCAGAAATCCTCGTTTTAAGATACAGCTGCTCCGCTCCCCCATGGTCGAGTAGTAAATCAACCAAGTTAAAGCCCGTTCAGGCGACTGCCGCGGTCGGACCGATGGCGGACCCGGGAGGGATGGACGAGAGGAGTGCAGATCGGTTGCGGCATCCGGGGAGGAAGCGCGTGCTGGGTTTCGTCGGGGTTCAGACCGGTTTCGGCAGCCGCACTAGACGCGGGTTGCTTCGCGAGACATGGTTCCCCGCCACGCCCGAAGACCACGCGCGGTAGGCCATGAGCGGCCGAAAGCACCCTTGGCATGTTACGGGTAACAAAGGTCCGTTTTGAGGCGTCTCAGAACTCAGTTTTGAGAATTTTAAATGGTGACGCCATGAGCAGCGAAAGCAACCTTACAGCTAAGGTGAGCAGCCTTAGAGCTACGGGCGGCTCAGTACTGTTTTGGGGCGTCTCAGAAGTCAATACTAACCTTTGAGTCGACTCAAACGTCTCAGAAGTCAATACTAACCTTTGAGTCGACTCAAACGTCTCAGAAGTCAAGACTAACCTCTGGCTATTTTCAGACCTCTCATAACTCAAGACTCGCTTCTGCCTTCTTCGCTACACGTGGTTCCCCGCGTTGCCTGAGGACCACAGGCGTTAGGCCAGTGGTGGGAGCATGGCGGGGGGGCCATGGCGGGAGGGCATGGCGTGGGGGCATGGCGTGGGGGCATGGCGGGGGGGCATGGCGGGGGGGCATGGCGTGGGGGCATGGCATAAGCATCAGACTTGGGTTTAGTTCTGCAACCGTGAGTAACATGTGCTACTGGCAGTTCCGAGGGCCATGAGTGACCTAGGACGACATGCTGTGTGAGGAAGGTATTCACGTGAAATAAGTGACGTTTTGAGACGTCTCGTTTCAGTTTTGAAATAATCTTCACTTATTTCACATTCTGTGCTCTGATTGAAACCCTGTAGTGGTGAGCTGGCGGGAAGAGTTCACCACTCACCCACTCTTTCCAACAGTCGATCTGATACTGACCTCTTCCCGCTTCATGCGCCACGTGGTTCCCAGCCACGTGGTTCCCAGCCACGTGGTTCCCAGCCACGTGGTTCCCAGCCACGTGGTTCCCAGCCACGTGGTTCCCAGCCACGTGGTTCCCAGCCACGAGGTTCCCAGCCACGTGGTTCCCAGCCACGTGGTTCCCAGCCACGAGGTTCCCAGCCACGAGGTTTCCAGCCACGTGGTTCCCAGCCACGTGGTTCCCAGCCACGTGGTTCCCAGCCACGTGGTTCCCAGCCACGAGGTTCCCAGCCACGTGGTTCCCAGCCACGTGGTTCCCAGCCACGTGGTTCCCAGCCACGTGGTTCCCAGCCACGAGGTTCCCAGCCACGTGGTTCCCAGCCACGTGGTTCCTTCCCAGCCACGTGGTTCCCAGCCACGTGGTTCCCAGCCACGTGGTTCCCAGCCACGTGGTTCCCAGCCATGTGGTTCCCAGCCGTGAGGTTCCCAGCCACAACCGGTAGACCACAAGCGGTAGGCCATTCTTGTAGAAATTAGTTACTTGAGTAATCAGATGGAAGATTTTGGAGGCGCCTCAAAGCAGACCATGAGATAGGACGGCACCCACCCTTGTAGCTGATCCGCAAAACAGCGGAAGCGTGCTGGTACTTAGATGGAAGGTGCAGCATTGGAGGTGAGATGGTAGTAGTGGTCAGCCCCCTGTTCCCTGTGCGCCCTGAGGTCAGATGGTCAGCCCCCTGTTCCCTGTGCGCCCTGAGGTCAGATGGTCAGCCCCCTGTTCCCTGTGCGCCCTGAGGTCAGATGGTCAGCCCCCTGTTCCCTGTGCGCCCTGAGGTCAGATGGTCAGCCCCCTGTTCCCTGTGCGCCCTGAGGTCAGATGGTCAGCCCCCTGTTCCCTGTGCGCCCTGAGGTCAGATGGTCAGCCCCCTGTTCCCTGTGCGCCCTGAGGTCAGATGGTCAGCCCCCTGTTCCCTGTGCGCCCTGAGGTCAGATGGTCAGCCCCCTGTTCCCTGTGCGCCTCACGCCATCTGTTTTGTGCGTTGTTCAACCCTGCCCTCCTTCCCTCCTCCCCCTTCTCGTCTACTTCAGCATAGAAGCAGCCCTCCCCCCCCCACCTCATTTTCCTCCATTCAGGGTGGAAGCAGCGACGGGGCTGGTGTTCCGGTTCATCATCGGGCATGGCAGGAGTGCAATGGATGAGCAGATGCTGCAGATGCCCTGCGCTCCCCATCCTCACACCTCCCCTCCCCCATGAATTCCAGCATAGAAGCAGCAACAGGGTTGGTGTTCCGGTTCATCATCGGGCACGGCAGAAGCACACTGGACGAGCAGCTGCTGCAGGCGGAGAACAGCACTCACGGGGACTTCCTTCGCATCGACGTGGACGAGGCGTACCTCAATCTCAACCACAAGACGTAAGGTTGTGAGGTTGCTTGCTGCTTGCAACGTGAGATGCTCGCTACTATTCTGCTTCTTTCTCACGTGCTGCTGCTACGTCGGAAGCTTCCATCTTCACACCTTTGCTCATACCCCCCACGCTCTTGCTGTAGTTCGCCCAGAAGTTCTGCTTAACCTTCGTAGTTGCAGTGGAAGTTCTTGATGTATGTATGTATACAGCTCTCCTCGCTCCTTTCTCGTCCTGCCCTCCTATCCCCCATTCCCCAGTCTCGTGTACTTCACGTCTCTCTTCAAGCTCTATGAAGCGGAATTTTACGTCAAGGCAGACGACGACATTTACTTGAGACCAGGTTTGTCCGTGTTATATTTTCTGTGAAACAGGATTGTAAGGAGTCTCATATGTTTGTGTCTGTGCGTGCGCGTTTCCGCAAAACCTTTTCTGATGAGTAAATCCTTCTCGTTTTTTTGGGAGAGAGAAAATGAGAATGCGAATTATTATGTTGCTGGCCACATTGGGCGACTTTTGAAACGCCTTAAAACTCGTTTCTTTTAAGAGTATAATGCTGATCATACGTTGCAGAAGAATGTCAAGAGTCCCGGCTTCTGCTGGCTGTTCTTTTTTTCGTCCCTGCAGACCGCCTCTCCTCTCTGATCGCCAGGCCAAGGAAATCACCTCGAACCTACCTTGGGTGCTTGAAGAAGGGAGCTGTGTTCACTAACCCCAAAATGAAGTGGTGAGTTTCCATAGTACACCTCATTTCGGGGCCTTTCTCAGCCCGTAACATGCAGTGGACTATTTGTTTGCAGCAGTTGTGCCTCTTGAGCTATTCTTGAGAGCCATGCAACTCATCCATGCCCCTGGATTCATTTAAAACCGCTCCTCTCTTTTTTTTTTTTTTTTTTTTTTATGGGTTCTGTGCAGGTTTGAGCCCAAGTCATGGCTGGTGGGATCGGAGTATTTCCTGCATGCCTACGGCCCCATCTACGCCCTCTCATACGACGTGGTCAACATTCTCAACTCCATTCCCAAGGGCAGGTGAGCTGTGCTTGTCTTGCAACGTGATGAGCCGTGCATGTATTTCCTGGATGCCTGCTGCACCATCTACGCCCTCTCGTACTATGTGGTCAACATTCTCAACACCATTCCCGAGGCCATGTCAGTTGTGCATGTTTTCGATTGAAGTGGGTCATGCCTGTCGTTGGTTGAGGCGAGTCGACTATGTCTGGTTGACAAATTTGTATAATACACTGGTAGGACCTGCAAGGGAGAATCTCTCAAACATAGGAGTCAGTACAAACACTGCAAGATAGGGTTGCTTTTGATTTTGAAATCCAACTTCTATTCTTCTCATGGCCGATAGGGTTTCTCTGTTTTTATGTCATGCGCCATGGCCGCAGGTTGAGGATGTTCTTAAACGAGGATGTGACCGTAGGAGCATGGATGCTGGCCTTCGACGTATCGCATGAGATGAGCTGGCCTCTTTGCCAAAATAATTGCACGCCCACTGCTGTGGCTGTCTGGGACATGCCCACCTGTGCCGGCCTTTGCCACCCTGATGTTCAAATGAAGCAGCTACATCAAAACCCTGCCTGCTCCGGGAAAGAAGCAGTTTGACTTGTGTGCAAGTGGTTTAGGAAATGTACGCATACCTTAACTGATATGTGTGGGAATGTCTCACCATTGTTACTACAATTCAGTGTATCATGCGTGCCCTAAATTTGGGTCATGAGCTGGCTTTCGTGGCAAAACAGCTGAACGCCATCTGATCTAGCTGTGTGTTGTTCATTCCTACCCGTGCTTTCGCTTGAGCGTGCCTAATCATTTGGGCTGGGCATCCTTGACGCGCAGATGATTATTCTGAATACCAAGATTGATTGGTTCATTAGCAAGTCGCTCAATAGGCTAAATCTTTGCCTTCGTTTCGAGCCCGTAGCGCTACGCCAGAGGGAAAATTGAGCCGAGGCAAGGGCACAGGTTTCCTGCGACCGAAGCACACCCCGAACCGAACAGCTCAGAGGAGACCCAATCACTGTCACCAAGTTTGCCAGTTTTTGGGTTCCCCGCCACCGCCGAACTTATTTCTCCGGTCAGTGTAATATTTTCGATGACTCTGCTGAAGAGTACTTCAGAACTCGACGTCCATTTCTGACAAATGCCAGAACTTAACTCATAATCAAGCAAAGGCAATTATGGAGGGCTTAGTGACTTTAGCCTCTCAAAAGCAAACTCCAACTACACCCGCCCGTTTGCAATTCTGGTCAAAATTAGTTGTCTCAAATCACTAAATAGTCTCACGGAATCGGAGGGTGCCTCCTTCCGAACCAGACCAGACAACTCAATGTCAACACCGAGCCTGGCAACACCCTTTTCGTTCTCATTTGTTTGCCGCCACTCCCCGTTTCCTACATTCTTGCTTTCGCTCTCCATTCTTGCTTTTGCTCTCCACTACAGGTATAGTAGGAAAATGCTTTCAGCACTTTGGCATCACCACCCCTTATTGCCGCCTAGTCAATAACGTTTCGTGCCGCATTCGTACATCATTTCGAAATAGGTAGAACTGTAGCATTATATACTTTGAAACAATTTTCCGGGCCAAGATATTCGGGTTGAGCGCTACACGACGCCTCGGCATGGCGCATTGGTCGCCACTCCCCGCTGTACAAACCTTTCCCCGCGCTCGCCAAGGGCCCGCACACTCGCGCAGCGCAATCCGAAAGCGCGCCGAGTCCCGTCGCCGCGGCAACTACCTGTCGCACGTTGCTCTGCTCGCCTCGCTCCTCGTGCTTCGTCTCCCCACTTCCTTCGCCGTCCTCATTGACTCCTCGCAAGGTACATCTGCGAGTCGCAAGGTACATCTGCGAGTCGCAAGGTACAGCTGCGAGTCGCAAGGTACAGCTGCGAGTCGCAAGGTACAGCTGCGAGTCGCAAGGGACAGCTGCGAGTCGCAAGGTACAGCTGCGAGTCGCCAGGTACAGCCGCGAGTCGCAAGGTACATCTGCGAATGGCTTTCGAGGCGCCTCTAAAGTCCCCTTGTCCATCGCCGCTCCTACTGAGTAATCCCAAAAGGTGATTTTGAAATCTCTCAAAAGTGACTCCCCGCTTCCTTGGCCGTCCTCATCGACTCCTCGCAAGGTACAGCCGCGAGTCGCAAGGTACAGCTACGAGTCGCAAGGTACAGCACGTGTCGCAAGGTACAGCCGCGAGTCGCAAGGTACAGCTACGAGTCGCAAGGTACAGCTACGAGTCGCAAGGTACAGCCGCGAGTCGCAAGGTACAGCTACGAGTCGCAAAATTTCAGTCGCGAATCGCAAGGTACAGCTGCAATTGGCAATTCGCACTTCGCGAACACCCCCATTGGCGCCGACTCGCGCCCCCATTGACCCTCGCAAAGTATAGCCGCGCTGCGCTTCAAATTGTTTCTTGAATCCCCTGTCCGCCGCCTCGTTCGCGCCGCCGACGCCTACTAGCACTATCGGCGGCGCGTTCTAGTGATTTTAACGTCAGCTGACTTAAACAGGGCTGAAAGCGCACCGTTGCGCCTCTGGCTGAAACATCGCAGTTTTGGCCAAGTGGTCTAGAGCACTGGGGGCGACAGCGACGCAGCCCTTCTACTGATACGCCTGCTGCCCGTTCTCTTGAAAAGCAGTCGTTGATGCGCCTGCTGCCCGTTCTCAGTCCTACTGTGGCCATTCCGAATGTACAGAGCGGCTCTGTGAGCCTACAGTCCCTGCTGACTCCGCCCGCTGCCCCCTGACTTTTGAGTCGACTCAAAAGAGGTGACTTTTGAGTCGACTCAAACAGGTCCACGCTTTCTCCCAGTCCCCGCTGTACCCGCTGCGCCCTTTTCCATCACCTCATCAACTTCCCCCGTCTTCCCTTCCCCCCATCTTTCCCCCGCCGTCCCATCCTTCCCTCTGTCCCCCATCCTCCCTTCTCCGCCTCCCCATCCCCCAGTTCCCCCGCTGCTGGAGATGCAGGCGGGGTGGGGAGTGAGCCTCAACGAGTGGCGCGCCAATGGCAACTGTGATGCTGCCACAGGGCTGACGTGCGATGAGGGCGGGTTCGTCGTGGGCATGTGAGTTAAGGTGACTTGAGTCGATTCCCAAGTCGCCACGGGGCTGGTTTGCAATGAGGGCGGGCATATGAGTGGTGTGCATATGAGTGGTGTGCATGTGAGTGGTGTGCATGTGAGTGGTGTGCATGTGAGTGGTGTGCATGTGAGTGGTGTGCATGTGAGTGGTGTGCATGTGAGTGAGGAGCATGTGAGTGAGGAGCATGCGAGTGATGCGCATGGGGGTGAATGACGAGGATGAGACGAACATGCAATCACGTGCCATCAGTAATGTCACTGCCTGACTGCCACTACCCCTTTTTCGCCTCCTGGACACCCCCCCCCCCCCCGTCTTTCCCTCCTCCCTCCTCCCTCCTCCCTCCTCCCTCCTCCCTCCTCCCTCCTCCCTCCTCCCTCCTCCCTCCTCCCTCCTCCCTCCTCCCTCCTCCCTCCTCCCTCCTCCCTCCTCCCTCCTCCCTCCTCCCTCCTCCCTCCTCCCTCCTCCCTCCTCCCTCCTCCCTCCTCCCTCCTCCCTCCTCCCTCCTCCCTCCTCCCTCCTCCCTCCTCCCTCCTCCCTCCTCCCTCCTCCCTCCTCCCTCCTCCCTCCTCCCTCCTCCCTCCTCCCTCCTCCCTCCTCCCTCCTCCCTCCTCCCTCCTCCCTCCTCCCTCCTCCCTCCTCCCTCCTCCCTCCTCCCTCCTCCCTCCTCCCTCCTCCCTCCTCCCTCCTCCCTCCTCCTCCCTCCTCCCTCCTCCCTCCTCCCTCCTCCCTCCTCCCTCCTCCCTCCTGCCTCCTTCTCGTCCCTCCATCCACACACACACATGGCAGGACCCTCACAGCGGAGCAGGTGCCTGCAGGGCTGCCAGGGCCCTTCCCCACGGCCATTGGCAGCCTTACCCACCTCACAGACCTGTGAGCACCGCACACCCCTCCCTCCACTGTGGTGACTGTTGCACCACCTCTGCTTGTAGTGTGTTGACGACTGAACACGTAAACTACCAGCCAGCCTTGAAGTTGAGACAGATCTTAGGTCCCTTGAATTGAAACTCGCCTGGATTTATTCGGCGCTTACGGCAGGACTTGAACCGGAGACCTTTCCCTTCTGAGCTCATCCCTGTGTCCCATCCCAACCCGCCCCATCATCATCGCAAGCTAACCGCCTGCTCATCCCTGTGCAGTGCTCGGTTTGTTTGTTTATTGTGTTGAGAGATTCCATTCCTCCTGTTCCTTTTTGTCTCGTCTCCTGCATTCGACGTGACGCGGCAATGTGCAGAACGCTTGACCTGAGCAACGGAACCGCTTCCATTCCCAATGCCATCAGCACCCTCCGCCGCCTCGCTACCCTGTCAGTGCCTCGCCTCCCTGTCACTGCCTCGCCTCCCTGTCACTGCCTTGTCTCCCTGTCGCATCTCCTCTTCCTCTCAGCTTCATTGTCATCTCCTTTATAAGCATCTCCCACAGGCGTCCATCTATCCATGATGTTAAGCATCCACCCCCAATGCTGCCATCCATCCCCCCATGCTGCCATCCATCCCCCCATCCATCCCCCCATCCATCCCCCCATCCCCCCATCCATCCCCACATGCTGCCATCCATCCCCCCATCCATCCCCCCATCCATCCCCCCATCCATCCCCCCATCCATCCCCCCATGCTGCCATCCATCCCCCCATCCATCCCCCCATACTGCCATCCACCCCCCCCACATGCTGCCATGTCATGCCCCCCCCATGATGCCACACAGGCGGCTCTCAGGTGCGGCTCTCCGGGGCACCCTGCCCTCAGCCCTCGCGCAGCTTCCTGCGCTCTCTTCTCTGTCAGTGCCTCTGCTTGCCTTTTGAGACTTTTGAGACACCTCAAAGTCTTTTTGAGACACCTCAAAGTCTTTTTGAGACGCCTCAAAGTCTTTTTGAGACGCCTCAAAAGTATTCTCAGGAGCAGCTCTGCGTGGCAATGTGCCCTCAGCCATGCCCAGCTCACTGCGCTCTCCTCGCTTTGTCAGTGCACCTCCATGCACCTTCACGCACCTCCATGCTTCCTTGAGCCGTGCACGCACTCTTGCACCCCCATACCTTCATCATCCATCATTGCACGACAAGCCCACATACTCACAAAACCTCCCTTCGTTTCTCACAAACCTCACGACAAGCCCACAAAGCTCACATACCTTCATTGTTTCTTCCCCTCTGCTTTTGCTTCCTCCATGACCCCTCCACCCATCTGTGCTCAGCTCACTGGTTGACAGCATGCTCACAGGCTGAAGGTTCTAGCTCCTAAATCGACTCAGAAGTCACCTTCTCTCTGCCCTCCCCCTCCACCCATCTGTGCTCAGCTCGCTGCTAACAGCACGCTCGCAGGCCGACGTTTCTAGCTCCTGAATCGACTCAAAAGTCACCTTCCCTGTTCTCTCCCCCTCCACCCATCTGTGCTCAGCTCACTGGTTGACAGCATGCTCACCGGCTCCATTCCAGCTTTCCTCTCGGCGCTCACACAATTGACAGAGCTGTACGTTACATTCCAGCTACAGACTCAGATGTTGCCTAGTAGTCATGTTCACTCTAACCTCACTGGCTCCATTCCAGCTTTCCTTTCGGCGCTCTTACAGCTCGCAGAGCTGTACGTTCTAGCTGCTGAGTCAAACTCAAACGCGACTCCGTTGCCGAGAAAGAGTAATGTTCGATCTAACCTCACGCGCTCCATTCTTGAGGCGTCTCAAAAGTCGTCTAACCTCCGCGCTCCATTCTTGAGACGTCTCAAAAGTCGTCTAACCTCCGCGCTCCATTCTTGAGGCGTCTCAAAAGTCGTCTAACCTCCGCGCTCCATTCTTGAGACGTCTCAAAAGTCGTCTAACCTCACGCGCTCCATTCCAGCCAGCCTTCCTGCCTGGATCTGGCACAGTTCTTTGTGAATTCTCAAATAATTCACACAGCTGTGCGTTCTAGCTTGCATGCGTTGTTCAAAAGAGATCGTCGCTCGAACCTCACGCGCTCCATTCCTTCCAGCCATCACTCCCGTCCAGCTCTGGCACAGCTCACACAGCTACACGTTGGATGACTCTACTCTACCATACATGATCAATGAAGTGAAGGAGCTTGGGTAGCTGCATTGAGAAAGCCAGTGCTTGCCATCCCATGCCTTGCCTTGCCGTCCCATCCCATGCCATCCATGCATCCCATCCCATCCCATCCCATCCCATCCCATCCCATCCCATCCCATCCCATCCCATCCCATCCCATCCCATCCCATCCCATCCCATCCCATCCCATCCCATCCCATCCCATGCCTTCCATGCCATGCTATGCCATCCATGCCATCCCATTCCAACTCATCCCATGCATACATCCCATCCCATGCTATCCCATACCATGCAAGAACATGCCATGCCATGTCATCCCATGCCATCCCATCCCATGCCATGTGGTTACACCCTCTTCACATACAGGGCCATGTATAACGGTGCCTTCAATGGTGTTATACCTGATACAATCACATCCCACACTGCGCTACAGCGTCTGTAGGTTTGACAACTTGGAAACTATATAATCCATCTGTGTTTTTTTTTTTCCGCTGCGAGCGATTGTTGCATCCATCACAGCCATGCGTTGGTGCTAGAAAAAACATAACCTCCTCAAGCGGTGCTTGTTTTTGAGTCGACTAGAACATCACAGCCTTGAGTTGGTGCTAGGAAACACGTAAGCCCCTCAAGTGGTGCTTGTCCTCCTTACTAGCCCTACAGTGCCTGCAAGTGTTTTACACTTTCACCTGCCGTCCAAATTTCTTTCCTGTGACGTGGGTATCCTCCTTTGTCTCTTCCCTTGTCTCCCTTCCCCTGTCTCTCTTCCTCTGTCTCTCTGCTCCTGTCACCCTTCCCCTGTCACCCTTCCCCTGTCACCCTTCCCCTGTCACCCTTCCCCTGTCACCCTTCCCCTGTCACCGTTCCCCTGACACCCTTCCCCTGTCACCCTTCCCCTGTCACCCTTCCCCTGTCACCCTTCCCCTGTCACCCTTCCCCTGTCACCCTTCCCCTGTCACCCTTCCCCTGTCACCCTTCCCCTGTCACCGTTCCCCTGACACCCTTCCCCTGTCACCCTTCCCCTGTCACCCTTCCCCTGTCACCCTTCCCCTGTCACCCTTCCCCTGTCACCCTTCCCCTGTCACCCTTCCCCTGTCACCCTTCCCCTGTCACCCTTCCCCTGTCACCCTTCCCCTGTCACCCTTCCCCTGTCACCCTTCCCCTGTCACCCTTCCCCTGTCACCCTTCCCCTGTCACCCTTCCCCTGACACCCTTCCCCTGTCACCCTTCCCCTGTCACCCTTCCCCTGTCACCCTTCCCCTGTCACCCTTCCCCTGTCACCCTTCCCCTGTCACCCTTCCCCTGTCACCCTTCCCCTGTCACCCTTCCCCTGTCACCCTTCCCCTGTCACCCTTCCCCTGTCACCCTTCCCCTGTCACCCTTCCCTGTCACCCTTCCCCTGCGCCCCATCAGCATGCTAGCACAGAACAACTTCACAGGAAGCATTCCCAGCAGCATCAGTGCGTTGAACAGCCTCGAGTACCTGTGAGTAATGCTGCTGCCTCTTCAACCTCGTAGGGTCGTCACTCACTCATAGCGGTATAGCTGCAGATCTGAAGCTTGGAGCCTGTTCAAATGAATCGAGTTCAAATGAATCGAGTTCAAATGAATCGAGTTCAAATGAATCGAGTTCAAATGAATCGAGCTCAAATGAATCGAGTTCAATCGACTCTCTCGGCTTTGCGTGTGAGCATCTTTTCAGGCCAAAGAGGGTATAACTGCTTTGCTATGCTAAAGATGCTCAATAGAGGCTAAAGAGCATCTTAACTGAATTCTCAAATCTCCTCCCTGCCCCTCCCACTCCCCCCTGCCCGTCCTACCCACTCCCCCCAGGGCCATCGGAACCAACCCCCTCTCAGGCTCCCTCCCGGCCGCCCTTGCATCGCTGCCTCTCCTGCAATACCTGTACGCCCCTCACCACTGCACACCACCCGCCCTAGCAGGCATGCGCAGGCAGGCATGCACTGGCAGGCATGCGCTGGCAGGCATGCGCTGGCAGGCATGCGCTGGCAGGCATGCGCAGGCAGGCATGCGCAGGCAGGCATGCGCAGGCAGGCATGCGCTGGCAGGCATGCGCAGGCAGGCATGCGCTGGCAGGCATGCGCAGGCAGGCATGCGCTGGCAGGCATGCGCAGGCAGGCATGCGCTGGCAGGCATGCGCAGGCAGGCATGCGCTGGCAGGCATGCGCTGGCAGGCATGCGCAGGCAGACATGCGCTGGCAGGCCTGTGCTGGACGCCCTTGTGTCACTCGCCACAGCAAACCCCCAGTCCTGGCAGGCACTTGTGCTGGCAGGCATGTGCCTGCACTGCACTGCATTGCAATGCACAACATATGCTGTATGGTGCATGGTGAAAGCAGCATAATATTTCCACACGGAGCATGGGTGGCAAGCTTATTCACCCAAACAGCCGTGCCAGTTCATCATGGCACCCAGTAGCTACTGGTAGCTGTTCATGGCACCCTCGCTACTGGTTCAGTTCAGTTCTGCAGCAGCTTGGCTCGCCGCTTCCTCCTCCCGACCACTCTCATCTCTGAGGAGTGAGAGATTCAGGAATGATTGTTCTGTCGACTCAAGCCTAGCCCCTTCTCCTGGCTGCACTTGGCCCAGAGGGGACAAGAATGGCAAATCATCAGGAACAAGAGAAGGTCGAGGAATGCTCTGAGGTGGTTTTTGAGGCGCCTCAAGAACCACCTGAATGGCAAATCAACAGGAATTCTCTGTAGATAAAGAACCCATGTGCATATCGAGTTGAGTATTGAAGGGCTGTTGTGCCTCTTGCTTGCTTGTTCCTCGCCTGTGTTGTGTGCAACGCTACATGGCAGGGATGTGAGCTCTGCGAGCATCAAGGGCTCCATCCCATCAGCACTGGGCAACCTGAGTCGGTTACGCATGCTGTGAGTGCGGCAATGCAGCGAGTGTGGCAATGCAGCGAGTGTGGCAATGCAGCGAGTGTGGCAATGCAGCGAGTGTGGCAATGCAGCGAGTGTGGCAATGCAGCGAGTGTGGCAATGCAGCGAGTGTGGCAATGCAGCGAGTGTGGCAATGCAGCGAGTGTGGCAATGCAGCGAGTGTGGCAATGCAGCGAGTGTGGCAATGCAGCGAGTGTGGCAATGCAGCGAGTGTGGCAATGCAGCGAGTGTGGCAATGCAGCGAGTGTGGCAATGCAGCGAGTGTGGCAATGCAGCGAGTGTGGCAATGCAGCGAGTGTGGCAATGCAGCGAGTGTGGCAATGCAGCGAGTGTGGCAATGCAGCGAGTGTGGCAATGCAGCGAGTGTGGCAATGCAGCGAGTGTGGCAATGCAGCGAGTGTGGCAATGCAGCGAGTGTGGCAATGCGGCGAGTGTGGCAATGCAGCGAGTGTGGCAATGCAGCGAGTGTGGCAATGCAGCAAGTGTGGCAATGCAGCGAGTGTGGCAATGCAGCGAGTGTGGCAATGCAGCGAGTGTGGCAATGCAGCGAGTGTGGCAATGCAGCGAGTGTGGCAATGCAGCGAGTGTGGCAATGCAGCGAGTGTGGCAATGCAGCGAGTGTGGCAATGCAGCGAGTGTGGCAATGCAGCGAGTGTGGCAATGCGGCGAGTGCGGCAATGCAGCGAGTGCGGCAATGCGGCGGGTGCGCGCCTTCTGAGACGTCTCAAAAGTCGTCTCCTTACACGCAGATCTTTTGTTCTAGGGTTCCACCCCATCACAGTTGAAATTGATTGGATTCGAAACGCAGCAAGCCTGCTAAGAGTAACGATCTGTAGTACCGAGTCTACTAATCTGAAAATCGAGGGAAGTAGTGAGAAAAGGTCTACTAATCAGAAAGCCAGACACATTAGGCCTGGATGTCGCGTGTGTGGATCTTTTGTTCTAGGGTTCCACCCCATCAGCACCGGGAAACTTGGGTCAGCTACATGTGGCAGTGCTGTGATGTGGCAGTGCTGTGATGTGGCAGTGCTGTGATGTGGCAGTGCTGTGAGTGCGGCAATGCTGTGAGTATGGCAGTGCTTTGAGTGCGTGTGTTGCGAGTGCGCGTGCTGCGAGTGCGTCTGCTGTGAGTGTGGCATTGCTCTGAGAGTGCACTCACGTTCTTCATCACGAAGCTTCATATCTCCCGCATTAACTCGCATGGCCTCCCATCTTCTCGAATCGCTCCTCACTGGCATCGCCCCACTGGCATCGCCCCACTGGCAGGGCTCTGGGCAGCAACCAACTCACGTGTGATGAGTCTGCTTTTGAGTCGACTCAAAAACAGACCCACCATCCATCTGATCGAATCGCCCCACTGGCAGAGCTCTGGGCGGCAACCAACTCACGGGCGGCATTCCTCCGTCCATTGCTGGCCTCTCTGCCCTCACCCAACTGTCAGTCATCTTCCTTTTCTGCTCCATTTCCTCGGGTATCAATTGGGCTGCATCCATGCATACCACATATTCCACTGTGTGCCATTCCCCACAAGTCACCAGTTTTTAGACGTCTCAGTCAGTGCCAAGTATCCCCCAATTTGCCCCTGGATGTATCCTTCAAAGCTCAAACCATCCGCATCCTCCCACCCTTCCATCCTCCCTTCCTGCCACTCTCCCACCCTCCCATCCTCCCAACCCCTTATCCTCCCACCCTCCCTTCCTGCCATCCTCCCACCCTCCCATCCTCCCATCCACCCATTGCATGCAGCAACCTGGCTGGCAACAACCTCACAGGCTCCATTCCCCCCGCCATAAGCCTCCTCAATAAGCTTAGTGTCATGTGAGTGATGGCGGCTTGCTGATCCGTATGCATTTTGGTCGCTTTTGTTTGAACATCTGTTATCTCAACCTACAATAACAAAAATCCATATGGAAAATCTTGGCTTGTACTGCTGCTTATCTCATCCCAATTGAAGCCTCTTCCTAATTGTATTGCTTAACCACTTCTTTTCAGCTCTATCTAACGTCCCTAAACTAGTTAAATGCAATGCTAGTCCTTTACGTTGAACGTGATGCGCTGTTAAATCATGCCATGTAGCAGGATGCAATCCTAGGGTATGCCTAGTAATTCGCCGCGTGAAAGAAGTGTGCTTTTGAGACGTCAAAAACACTCTTCTTTCACCTGTTTAATCATGTCATGTAGCAGGATGCAATCCTGGGGTTTGCCTAATAATTCGCCAATGTATTTCCCTTGTGCCGCCCCGCCCCTCCTTTCCATCCCTGTCTGCCTCCCCTCTCTTTCAATAACTCCCCTCTTCTCCATTAACTCCCCTCTCCCTTCTCTCCTCCTCCGTCCCTCCCATCCATCCACTCTGCAGCGATCTCTCCTACAACCTCCTCTCAGGCCCCATCCCTGCAGTCCTCAGCACCCTTCCCAACCTCTCTTCCATGTATGTGCCACCTCTCTTCCATGTATGTGCCACCTCTCTTCCATGTATGTGCCACCTCTCTTCCATGTATGTACCACCTCTCTTCCATGTATGTGCCACCTCTCTTCCATGTATGTACCACCTCTCTTCCATGTATGTGCCACCTCTCTTCCATGTATGTACCACCTCTCTTCCATGTATGTGCCACCTCTCTTCCATGTATGTGCCACCTCTCTTCCATGTATGTGCCACCTCTCTTCCATGTATGTGCCACCTCTCTTCCATGTATGTGCCACCTCTCTTCCATGTATGTACCACCTCTCTTCCATGTATGTGCCACCTCTCTTCCATGTATGTACCACCTCTCTTCCATGTATGTGCCACCTCTCTTCCATGTATGTGCCACCTCTCTTCCATGTATGTACCACCTCTCTTCCATGTATGTGCCACCTCTCTTCCATGTATGCGCCACCTCTCTTCCATGTATGTGCCACCTCTCTTCCATGTATGTACCACCTCTCTTCCATGTATGTGCCACCTCTCTTCCATGTGTGTGCCACCTCTCATCCCATCCCATGTGCATACGATACGACAGCTCGCCCCTGCCCGCCGTCCCTAACTGTCACTTGGTCTCCAATTCTTATTTTTTCCTCTCTTCTGTATCATCCATCTTCACATGCATCACCCATCTTCACATCACATGCATCACCCTCACCAATCACAGCACGCATTGCCCTTCGTTCCATGCGTCACCCATGCTGACGTGGCAGCAACTTGGGCAACAACCAGCTCACAGGGCCCTTTCCACCGTCGCTTGCCAACCATACGAGTGTCACTTACATGTGAGTCCACATCAGCTTCATGAGTGTCCACATTGGCTTCATGAGTGTCCACATCAGCTTCATGAGTGTCCTCATCAGCTTCAAGAGTGTCCACATCAGCTTCATGGGTGTCCACATCAGCAACGCCCTCGACCATGTCAGGCCCTGCCCACATCAGCTTCAGCATTTATCACTCATGCCACGTGCCTCACGTGCTGTGCTCATGCAAAGCAAACACCCCCCCTGTTCCATTCCATCATTGCACCTCTCCACCCCCTGCTGCTTCCTTTCTCTGTTTTCTCTTCCCTCTCCCTCACCTCCCCTGGCCTTCCCTACCCGCCCCTCAAACACAAAAGCCTGCAGAACACTTTTGAGATGTCTCAAATGCCCTTCCCGTCCCTTCCTGATACCCCCCCACCTGTCCCAACCACAGCGGCCTGCAGAACAGCCGCCTCTCCGGCTCGCTGCCGGCCTCTCTCTCTTTGCTGCGTTTGAGTCACTTTGTAGAACTCTTAGAAGTAACTCACCCCGCAACCCCCCTCCCTTTCTCCAACCACAGCGGCCTGCAGAACAACCACCTCTCTGGCTCGCTGCCGGCCTCCCTCTCCTCGCTGCCGTCCCTCGTCTACCTGTCAGTGCAGCCTTCATTCACTCTCCTCCACTCTCAGACACAATTCTTCACTCTTTCGAACTGCCCCAAAAAGCCTACGCTGCTCTGCTCCTCTTGTTTGCTCCCCTGCTCTGCTCCTCTTGTCTGCTCGGCAGTATTTGCCGCATTGCTTCTCTTTCTCGTCCGACCGTGTGTGACTTCCACCAATGTCTGGGTGCCACGTGGCAGGTTATTAGGAACCAACAACATCTCAGGCTCCCTACCGGACAGCATTGGAAGCCTCTCGCTTCTCAGCAACCTGTGAGCTTCCTTTCGGCTCTTCCCTTCTTAGATTTTTAGGTTCACTCCGAACCATTGGTATACTTTATTCAGTTCAGGCCTATCTGCACCTTGCATAAATGTTTCCAGTCCTCGGGAATCTGTGAGCTTTCAGGTGTGTTTGAGTCGACGCACAACACTCCCTGCACCTTGCGTTAATGTTTCCGGTCCTCGGGAATCTGTGAGCTTACTTCTGATCGGAAGCTACGCCTGCTCCTGCTGCCGCAGTCGTGTGCGCTCCTGTTTCAAACCGTGGCGTGGCCTCTCTCTTCCTGACCTCGTTGTAACGAGGTGACTTCTAAGGTCGACTCAGAAGTCTCCGGCTTCCAACTCCTGTGGCCCTCGTTCCTGGGCTCGCACACACGTGCCTCTCCAACCATCCCAACTGAGACCATTTTTCAGGCGGCTCAAAGATCCTCTGGCCTTCGTTCCTGGCGTTCCTGACCTCGCACACGGGCCCCTCTCCAACCATGCCTCACTGCACCCCTCTCAGTCTTCCATTCTCCTATGCTGCCTCTCCTCCCCGCTGACCTCTTTCGTCTGCTTTCTGCCCTCTACCCTTCCTCTCGCTCATTCCCATTTCCCCTCCCCATGGGCTGCAGCGACATGGGTTACAACCAACTCTCAGGCCCCTTTCCCTCAGCCATCGCCAACTTATCTCGCCTGCGCACGCTGTAAGTATCCTCTTTGCTCTTGAGTCGTCTCTGCACTTGCGTCCTCTCATATCTCGCCTGCGCACGCTGTATGTGCCCTCTCTGCACTTGCATCCTCTCAAATCTCGGCTTTGCACACTGTATCCTCTCTGCTGCTCCCAGATCTCTAAGGGCGCGTGTAAATTGATTTCAGGTTCATGAGCCACCCCTTGCTCCCTTGTGCAAGTGTCAAATGAACAGCCCACACCGCCGCCGCTTGAAGCTTGTCACACTTCTCCTTAGGGACGTGCACGAATCCCATGCACCCGAAGACTCGAAGCATGTCCACCAGGGGTTTCTTGCCTCTCCACTTCTCGTCATGTCACAGAATATAAAGCTTAAGGCGTCATATTCTGTTACATGCTTGTGAGGTGTAGAGGGGTGTAGCTTGTAGTGTTTAGTTTCAGCGAGGGTTGGTTGGGTCCTTGAGGGTGACGCGAAGTTGGTAGTACAGGGAACTGGTGGGTACAAAGCGGTGGGATTCAGGAAGCCTCGAGAGACATGAAATCAGAATCAGCCAATCCAGGCTCAGGCGACTCGAGCACAATTCACTCGCCAAGAAATTGGCAACACGGGTGAGGGTGAATAAAGTAGCCTAGCGTAACAATCTCAACCTTGTTCTCTCGTTTGTTTGCTCGCTATAGTGGATACATGTTACTGATTTACGGCTAACTCCAGCCTAGGTGACGAGGCCACTGTGAGCAGCCAGCTGTGGGAGCGGGAATCTCTCTTAGGTAGTGGCTGAGGATGAAGAAGGGGACCAGGGGATAGGGACAAGACAGATGCAAGGGTGAGAAGGAGAAAGCAGCAGGATTTTAAGGACAGAAGCAGGTAACGCAGGAGGGGGGTTTTCCGACAGTCAATTTCGGGATGCACTCATGCGAAAACTCAAACATTTGAGCTGCGCGCTTGAGTAAATACGTTTTTTCGAACCGGGCTCGGAATCAAGGTGTGTTTTGAGTCGACTCAAAATACGTTTTTTCGAACGGGGCTCGGAATCAAAGCCTGATCATGCGTGCGCACGTTCCAAGTGAACCTGTGCACCTTTGTTTGTGCACGTGCAACAAATTGGCGACCTGCGAGAAAACTCGCGAATTGCACGAGCGCTTCTGACAAACTCAATTTGGATCTCGTCAACCATTAACGAGCCACGAGCCAGTGTTGATGGCCACGAGGGCTATTTGTAACCCTCTCAAAACCGAATCGCGCAACCAGCTGATGTGGCGCGATGTCAAGAACACGTACCAGGTAACAACGTCGCCTACACGCAGCCCGTCGCGTTCGCAGTAGGTTCAACTCTCGTGTCCGAACCCAGCTGGGACACCGTGCATGCAGGCGCCTGGGTCAGAACCACGTAGAGGGCAGCCTACCATCCAACCTGCACCACATGAGACGAGTTCTGAGTCGACTCACCACTTCTCTTATGTCCCCTCTCGCCCTTTGCATGCAGGCGCCTGGGTCAGAACCACATAGAGGGCAGCCTACCATCCAACCTGCACCACATGAGACGAGTTCTGAGTCGACTCACCACTTCTCTTATGTCCCCTCTCGCCCCCCTGCATGCAGGCGCCTGGGTCAGAACCACATAGAGGGCAGTCTGCCGTCCAACCTGCAAAGCATGGCCAGCCTCGAGTACATGTGTGTGTGGGGCGAGTAGGGTCCAATGGGGGGCGGGTAGGGTCCAATGGGGGGCGAATCGGGGCGGATGGGAGGCGAACTGGGGGAAGAAGTGGGAGGGGTTGAGGCCGCCATCAACAATACCATCATACCATGTGCAGTGCGTGCACAGTACCATCATACCATGTGCGTGCACATTACCTGCTGCAAGCACCAACCTTCTCAGCATCATAATTCTCTGCACCATCGCACCGCACACCACCACCAGGTACCTAGCGCAGAACAACCTCTCTGGGTCCATCCCTGCAGCAATCGCCAATCTCACTGCCCTTTCCTTCCTGTGAGCCCTTTCCTTCCGGTGAGCCCGTTTCTTCACGTTAATAGTGAAACCCCAGTGGGGTTCATCTGTTATGTGTGTGGCTGCGGAAACGTGTTCAAACGTGTGGAAAACAACCTTCCTCCTACCCAATCAGCCCCATCTGTCTTATGCCCAACTGTGCAACACGATGTGCCCACTCGTGCAACACAATGCACGTGGTGCCACCATCAGGGGCTTGGGAGGCAATCAGCTCACAGGGCGCATTCCTCCAGCCATCACCCGTCTCACCAATTTAGCCTTCCTGTACGTGCGCTGCTCTTCCACTGCGCTGCTCTTCCACTGCACTTCTCTTCCACCTGCGCTGCTCTGCCACTTACGCCGTGTGCTAGTCATTCTGTCAGGGCCTGCATGTGGAGGTTTGATGTGTGGCGCCGTAACTCGCACCGCACGCATCAAACCAGAGTCTAGCAGGACTGGTTTGCATGAGAACTCGTTTCAGGGTTTAGTTGTTCACTCCATTTGATTGTTCACTCTTCATCTATCATCTTTCTTGATCCTACGCCTTCTCTGTCTCGTTTCATGCTCGTTACAGTGACCTTTCATATAACAGCCGCATGGGTCAGCTGGAATGACTGTTGAGAATTCTTAATTGTCTCCCCCATCTCGTTGCATGCTCGCCACAGTGACCTGTCATATAAACAGCCTCATGTGTCTGCTGGAGTTACCAGTAGGCCTCATGAGGTCTATCAAAAGACCTCTATCTTGTTGCGTGTGCATGGCAGTGACCTGTCATACAACAGCCTCACGGGTCCCATTCCTGAATCCATAGGCGCTCTCTCTTCGCTCACCAGCCTGTGAGTCACTTGTCGTAGCATGTGATGTGATTTGATTTGAGTGACCGCTGGTTAGCAACTTAACATACTGTTACCACCACTGAGAAACCCTTGGTTACCAATCGGCCATTTACTCAGACTTACCATGTACACACGCTCACCATGTTCACCCGCTTACCATTTACGCCAGCATACCATGAACACCGGCTTACCATGTGATGTAGCCTCGATTGCATGCATCCTCGATCGAATGCATACATCCTCGATCGATTGCATACATCCTTGATACTTGCAAGTGATAGAAGCTAAAGAGTTGTGAGAAGTGCTCGTTGTTGTGAGCAGGAACCTAAGGCACAACAACCTCACCGGGCCCATTCCCACCTCCCTTGGCGCTCTTGCCAAAGGGATACTCGTGTATGCTATACGCCATGCCTTGCCATGCCCCATGCCATGCCATGCCATGCCATGCCCCATGCTATGCCATGCCCCATGCCATGCCATGCTATGCCATGCCATACCCCATGCCATGCCCCATGCTATGCCATGCCCCATGCCATGCCATGCCATGCCATTCCATGCCATCCCATGCTATTCATGGTAATCATGGGCTGATGATGCTTGCGCAACCCATGGGACGATCAATGGCTGGCGTGTGAGATATCAAGTAACAGCAGGCAGTGTAATGCTGTGTAGCTCAAGCTGTGCACGTTTTTACAGTTTCAACGACTCCACATGATGCTACACGGCACATTCCACATGCTACACGGCACATTCCACATGCTACACGGCACATTCCACATGCTACACGGCACATTCCACATGCTACACGGCACATTCCACATGCTACACGGCACATTCCACATGCTACACGGCACATTCCACATGCTACACGTCACATTCCACATGCTACACGGCACATTCCACATGCTACACGGCACATTCCACATGCTACACGGCACATTCCACATGCTACACGGCACATTCCACATGCTACACGGCACATTCCACATGCTACACATGCTATTTCCACATGCTACTTGCATTGCAACTCCAAAGAGACATCACTGGTGCGGTTGTGGAGGTCTAAATGGACTGAAATCTGACTTCTGGGTCGACTCAAAAGTCATGGCATGGCATGGCATGCCATGGAATGGCATGGCATGGCACGGAATGGCAGGGCATGGGATGGCATAGAATGGAATGGCATGGCATGGCATGGCATAGCATGGAATGGTATGGCATGGCATGGGCATGGGATTGCATGGAATGGCATGGCTTGGCATTATGCAAACTGTATGTGCATCACTATCCCTGCATGGCAGAGACATGAGTGCCAATCAGCTCTCAGGGTCCATTCCTGACTCCATCACCACCCTCCTCAGCCTCGTTTACATGTCAGTGCCACGTGTCACCACTGCCATGTGTCACCACTGCCACGTATCACCACAGCCATGTGTCACCACTGCCATGTGTCACCACTGCCACGTGTCACCACTGCCACGTGTCACCACTGCCTCGTGTCACCACTGCCACGTGTCACCACTGCGTCATATACATACTGCTTCCCTGCCGCGCTGTGCCACTACGAGACATGACCCAGCTGCCATGGATGTCCCCCACCTTCTTCTTCTCTCTTGCTTTCCCCATGCCTCCCTGAGACCCAACACCAACACCTGACCTGAACCACTCTTCTGACTTTTGAGTCGACTCAAAAGTCACTTTCTTGAGAAGTCTCAACAATCCTCCCCCACCCTGCTCTCCCTCCCCACCCTCCCCAACCAGCGCCATGGGTAACAACCTCACGAGCTCTGTGCCAGCTTTGAGTCGTCTCAACACTCCTGCCCCACCCTGCTCTCCCTGCCCACCCTCCCCACTCTCCCCACTCTGCCCCCTCTCCCCACCCAGCGCCATGGTTCACAACAACCTCATGGGCTCTGTGATAATGCTCGGTGATAATGCTTTGTGATAATAAAAGTGTTTTCAGACGTCTCAAAACACTCTGCCCGCCCTGCCTGCCCTCCTCATCCAAACCCCCCCCCTCCTCTTCCCCGCCCAGCGCCATGGGTAACAACAACCTCACGGGCTCTGTGCCAGCTGGCATGGGTCACCTCACCGCCCTCAGCCAGCTGTCAGTGCCGCCCCCCTCGTGTGCTTGCCCTCCCTCTCCCCTCGTGCCGTCTGCCCCACTCTGCACCTTTGCTGCAATGCCTTGTTTTCTTTTTATCATGTTCTGCTACTACATCCATGCTTGCTATAAGCAGCAATTTTGTCTTCTTTCTTTCTGCATGCTTTTATCATTCCTCTGCCTGCTACAGAAACTTTTTGAGTTGACTCAAAAGTCTGCATTTCTGTCGTCTTTCTCTCCATCCCTCTGCTGCCTCCCGCAGGGACTTGAGGTACACCAGCCTTCAGGGCTCGCTTCCTGCATCTCTAGGCAACCTTACTCAGCTCACAGGCCTGTAAGTAAAGCGTCTCACACTTGATCCGCCGGTTTTCAAGCGTCTCACACTTGATCCGCCGGTTTTCAAGCGTCTCACACTTGATCCGCCGGTTTTCAAGCGTCTCACACTTGATCCGCCGGTTTTCAAGCGTCTCACAGGGCGTTCAGTGTTTCACGCTTGATCCGCCATCTCACCCTGTCGCTGCTCCTTTTTTTTCTTCCCTCATGCATCTCCCCTCGTGCATCTCCCCTCGTGCAACTCCCCTCGTGCATCTCCCCTCGTGCATCTCCCCTCGTGCGTCTTCCACTCCTCCCTTGCCAGCTACGTGGACAACACAGGGCTGCAGTGCGCCACAGGGGGGTGGTGCGAGCTGACTCAGCAGACAACGTCAGCATTCTGCCAGCATTGCTCCTTCTTCTGCTCCAACTGCTCCGTGCAACCAGGTGGGTGTGCAACCAGGTGGGTGTGCAACCAGGTGGGTGTGTGAGTGCAAGCATGTGAGTGTGTGTTGTGATATGGAACGTCAGACTTTCCTGTCTGACTGCCCATGCACTTTACGCGTATGCATCTAGTCAGATCACATAGTGCCTCGCATGGGTGGCATGGGTGGCATGAGAGGCATGGGTGGCATGGCTTGGGTGCCAACTTGGGTGGCATGGCTTGGGCGGCATGGGTGGCGTTGATGGCGTTCGTGGTAGTGGCATGGGCGGCATGGGTGCCATGGGCAGCATGGGCGGCATGGGCGGCATGGGCGGCATGGGTGCCATGGGCGGCATGGGCGGCATGGGTGCCATGGGCGGCATGGGCGGCATGGGTGCCATGGGCGGCATGGGCGGCATGGGCAGCATGGCTGGCATGGGTGGCATGGGCAGCATGGGCAGCATGGGTGGCATGGGTGGCATGGGCAGCATGGTCAGCATGGGTGGCATGGGCAGCATGGGTGGCATGGGCAGCATGGGCAGTATGGGTGACATGCCAAACAGCAGCCTGTCGGTGCCTTCATGCTGTCACCAGTAACATCTCATCCCACTTCAACTCATCATCCTATCCTTCCGCACCTTTTCACAGCAGCAGATGCACGCACATGGTCTTGATTCTAGCTCCACCCTTCAGCCCTTGTGCCATGGGCGCCTGTATTCCCCTTGTGCCATGGGCGCCTGAATTCCCCTTGTGCCATGGGCGCCTGTATTCCCCTTGTGCCATGCGCGCCTGTATTCCCCTTGTGCCGTGGGCGCCTGTATTCCCCTTGTGCCATGGGCGCCTGAATTCCCCTTGTGCCATGGGCGCCTGTATTCCCCTTGTGCCATGGGCGCCTGTATTCCCCTTGTGCCATGGGCGCCTGTATTCCCCTTGTGCCATGGGCGCCTGTATTCCCCTTGTGCCATGGGCGCCTGTATTCCCCTTGTGCCATGGGCGCCTGTATTCCCCTTGTGCCATGGGCGCCTGTATTCCCCTTGTGCCATGGGCGCCTGTATTCCCCTTGTGCCATGGGCGCCTGTATTCCCCTTGTGCCATGGGCGCCTGTATTCCCCTTGTGCCATGGGCGCCTGTATTCCCCTTGTGCCATGGGCGCCTGTATTCCCCTTGTGCCAAGGCTGCCCATTTTCCCCTCCCCAACGAGTTTTGAGGCGCCTCGAGAATTGCAGTGGGTGTCACATTCCCCACCTTTCCCATCCCTCCACCTTTCCACCCCTTCCCCCCTCCATCCGCCCCTTTCCATTTACGCCAACCCCCACTGCATCTGATGTCTGTGTCGTTTCAGTTCAACCCCTGTACGGGGGGCGCTTGTTTCGCCCACCCCAATGGCACCTACAAACTTTTCACCTTATCCATCCATCTGCCCCTCCATCTGCCCCTCCATCTGCCCCTCCTTGTTTGCCCCCACTGCAGCTGACGTGTGTGCATCGTTTCAGTTCAACCCCTGCGGAGGGGGTGCCTGTGTCTCCCTCCCCAACGGCACCTACACCTGCCAATGCCCTCTCGGCACCACCATCGGGAACAACGGCACCATCGCTCCCACTTGCGTCCTTTGTCCCACGTGCCTCAACTGTCAGTAATTCACCTCATCATCCATGCATGAGGTATTGCTTTTCCTTCATCCAAACGCCTCTCACAATTCCGTTGCTACACCTCTTGAGATTCCAGAAGAGCGATTCCAATTCACAGTGTCACTCGTGGGAACTTTTGAGTCGACTCAAAAGTCAACCCACTTCCAATTCACAAGCTTAAAGTCACTCGTGCGAAAGAGCAGCACAGCGAAAATCCTTCAGCACGTCTGCGACTCCGTTGCCATGATCCCAACTGATCCCAACTGAGCACTTCCAATCCCTTCAAGTCATGGTCTCACCATTCTCATCTTCATCATTGTTTGACTTTTGAGGCGCCTCGAAAATCCCTTTGAGTCTTGGTCTCACCATTTTTGTAACATCGTGGTTTGGGTGTCTTTTTTTTTGTCACCTGCTGAAGCTGCTTTTATCTCTCTTGCATGCTCCCATGATCACTCGCACATGGTACATGTTCTATGAGCAACTTACATCTCTACATTCATGCCTTATGAGCGACATACAACTCTACATGTGTGCCTACTGAGCCACGCACACATCAGTTCATACGTTCTTTTGTTTGTGCACTCGCATGTGCCAACCAATGTACTTTCTTTGGTCTCTCCCGTTTCATTCTGTGGGATTGCATGAAGCCACAAGCCCGCCGTCCACCAGTCCGCCGTCCACCAGTCCGCCGCCCACCAGTCCGCCGCCCACCAGCCCGCCGTCCACCAGTCAGCCGTCCACCAGCCCGCCGTCTAACAGTCCACCGTCCACCAGTCCGCCATCCACCAGTCCGCCGTCCACCAGTCCGCCGTCCACCAGCCCGCCATCCACCTCCCCATCGCCTGCTAGTGCCCCACCTCCTGCTAGTGCATCATCTGGCTCTCCTCCTGGACAGGGGACGGGAGGCAATGCAGCAGCGGCACAAGGAACACCGGCTTCCAGTCAAGCTCGCAGCGGAAAAGGAATGAAAGCTGAGGGCCACATCGTCACTTCATGTGTTCTACCGCCGCTGCTGCAAATCCTCGTGCTTGTATTTGCATGGGGGTGAACCAGGAGCTCTGGATATCAAGTGGATCTAGCTCGACTGATCATCTGAAAATTAGACGTACGTTTTTGTGCTCGTCTGATTTGCCGTGTATTTTGCCTGAATCACAAGACAATCCTGGCTTTTATATCTCTATGCCTCAAGGTGGATAACATATAACATAAAATGCAATGTAGACTTTTCCACATAGACCCAATGGAGTGCTGCTGGAGATTGCATTCTTCTATTCCAATTTTCTGTTTCTGTTGTACTTAAAAAACATGTATAATGTACAAACTCTGTATCCAAAGCTGTTCAAATCTTCTTGCTGTTCTTTTTGCTCTACAGCCAGCGACGAAGCCCAACGCGGAGGATGAAATCTCGTGGGACTCGTGGGCCGTGGCCAAAAGAAGACGGAGTGCATGTGAAGCCAAGGTGATGGGTTTGGGTTGGGCTGGGGGGAAATGATTTGATGTGACTGAGGTGATGTGAAAATGCGCAGGTAGGAGTCAGTTGCAAGGATGTGGTGGCCGTTGCATGGGCGATTTGTTTGTATCGCTCACGGTTGTCCGTTTCATAATGTTGCAAGGATACACACGGTGAATAGTGTATGTTGCATGAGCAGAAAGCTACAGTTAGCATTGACGCCGCTGTCCCATCTGTTGGATTCGGCGGGAGGGGCCCAGATTGCTGCCTTGTTGAGGTGTCCTGTCTACGGGGGCTTGTGTTGTTTGTGATGTGAACTGTGCACTGCGCCTTGTAGGGCACCCAACCAGGTCTGTAGAAGCAAGGGCATTTAGCCTTAATGCCCTGTACATTCCAGGTTTCTTTCTCAGAAGCTCGACTGTTTCAAGTGTTCGCATGGCACCCGCGACCGTTAGGGCTCAAACTGGGCCTCTCCCTGAGTCTAGTTCTGGTTTCTGTTTCGAGGACATCCCCCCCAAACATTCAGCGCGCCCCTCCCCCTTACTCGTATGGTTTCGCCAACTATGACCAATGAATAATAAAAGCAGGTGGCAGTTACGACTGCCAATGCGTTGGATACCTTTTTATAGTATATCATTACATTTAACAAAAAAATGAGAGGCCGTAGCTCGTAGATGAGTAGAAAGCATGCAATACCAGCTGCTAAGTAGCAGGTTGCCCCACCTTTGTACATGAGGAAGGTACACTTTCCTTGGAAACCTGTTTTAAAGTTTCGAATTTGGCCTGCGCCCGTGAAAATCGGGGCCAGATTTTGAGCAGCTCCGGACTCAACCGGGGCCTTCGACAGGCCTGCACCCAACCCAAGGCGCTGGTAGGAAAGGATCTGCTCCGTCCACTCCCTCTCAGTTTCAGATTTTATTTCGCTTCAATATGAAACTGACGCGGACTTGCTTGACCGTGCTCGATGTTGATCCAAGGACGGTGTGCTGTTGTTGACGTGGCGGCTTCTTGTTATCAATCACTTTCAGCCTCGTCGCAACCACGGGGTGTTGGGTGATACAGTATATTGCACTGCCTGCGTCAGTGGGCAGTGCAATGGTTTCCTCTTTTTATTATTCCTTGAACTCGTACTTTAAAACCCCAAATTGCCTAACGTTATTGATTTTCTAAAATATATCAATGTGAAATATGCTAGGGTAGGCATGAATCGATACTGGGTGCGTTAGCATAGGAAAGCGCGTGTTCCTAAAAATGCTGCCGCGCTTCGAAGGAGCAAAAGGTGTGGATGATGTTGGATGGCTCGAATTTGCACAAGGCGAGGGCTGGGCTGGGACCGGGAACGGAACTCCCAAAGCAAGCACCATAGGCGACGATGATTTGAGATACAGTAAAAGCAAGAAAGGACGACCCTCGATCAGTAACGAGCAGGGCATGACAAATTGGTTACTAACACTGTAGTGTAACGAGATGGCGGCGTGCCGTGGCGTTACTACATTCGGTTTTCGTTTCAAGAGCACCAGGTAGGTGGATGGCATGTGCGTGAAACGAGTTTTAGTTGATTCGCCACATTCGCCCTTGTCGCCACGGGAAAAAATGTGACAGTAGCATGAAATTGCAACGTGAATCAAGTCAAGGGTTTTAATTTTGTAACCAGGCTAGCTTCTCTGATGACGGGCAACCGTTGTTGTTTATGTACTGTAGATGTTTTTCTTCCTCAGCTTGGTGACTGTACCCCGAAATCGGCACAATGGTCAATTTAGTCACTCACGGGCAAAACGTTCGCGAGTGACTAAATTTCTAATTGTGGGCAGCAAATGTTTTGTGATAGGCTGAGCATCGACTGTACAACAAAGTTGGGCTGTGCGTCACTGTGAAAATGACAGGGCAGGGCAGGGCCCACTCCGTTACGTCGCTGATTGCGTGCGATGCGATGCATCATCCTCTTCTGCCATACAGGATCTCGCTGCTCGATTGCTCGCTCACAGAGCGTCAGCTCAGGCAAGCTCCCTTAGTCCACCTCTTCCAGTAGAGCTCCTTTTTGAGGTGCGTGTGCGTGAGTCGTGGCTCGTGAGTCGTGACCCTGTTTGCCATCGCCCTGCTGGGCTACTACACACCTGGCCTCATTTAGATCCCAAAAGCCACTTCCTAGAGGCTCACTCAACCCCCATTCCAATCACAGCATTTCTCATGGGCGGCAGGCCCGGCTTGAGGCGCTTCACGACAGCGAAAGACATGGACCCACACACCCGTGGCGGTTATTGTAGTCCCACATGACCATCAGCATCAGAGCTTCTGCTAGGAACGTGGCATCGACAACAATGTCCTCTCGTGTGGTTCTAGGACTCGCAAACGGACCAGTTTTTCGCCGCATGATTATAGTCCTACGACTCGGTATTTGTAGTACGGAACATCCTCTAGGACCAGCCAGTGGCTAAGCACGGTTCAGCCCGTCATCCAAATAACTACATCATCCTCCCGGGGTCAGATTCGGCTTGCGGCATCCTTCCATCAATCTTACGCCCCTCACAATCGAAATGAGCGACCGTTCGTCTTTTTCCGACGAAGCAACTCTTACTACTAACACAGAGAACATGCGAGCATCCTATCTTCCTCCGGAAGTAGTGTCGGCGATGGAGGTGGAGGAGCATCCTGAGCGCGACGCGAACGACGAGCTTCTATTAAAGCCTGAGCCAGAAGAGCTCGGCCCTGTCGGTCGCGACGTTGACGGCGGAGATCTTTCCAAGTCGCCTTCGCGGCGGCGGAAATCCCGAGAATGTTTAAGCGGAAGTCCAAGCCCTCTCGAAGGCCCTGCTGCTGACTCAGCAGCAAAGGCAAGGCCAGACTCGAGCCCGCCGTTAAGTCCGGCTGAAGAGTCCTGTCAAGCGGTGGAGCAGCCTGGCAGGCCGGACGATTTCAGTGAGCGTCGTCAGAGCGGCGTGTCCGCGGGAGAACCTCAGCCGCCAGGAACGGCGGGAGTGGTGGAGATAGGTCCTACGGCTCTGCTGGCGACAATGGGACAACCACCAATGTCCCAGTATGTCGGGCTCGTGCTTGCGCATCTCGATTCTTGTGCTCCGTTCGTGGAATTTCGCTGCGCAAAACGGCACTGTAAATGCATCCGGCCGGCGCGACGCAAGCCCTACTACTAGAAGTTTGAACAACCCCTAACCCCGCGTTTACTTCTGCCTCCAATCATTGACAGACGTCGCGCGGCGAGGCAACGGCTGGCTCTGCTGAAGAGGCGGATACCTCGCGACGGGTACATGTGGCTCAAGTACGGGCAGAAGCAGCTCACGGGCGGAACTCACGGCAGGTGAGCAGTTAGTAACTCAAGTACGGTACTGACGGGTGTGAAGGGCGTTGTTCCAGGTTTCAACGTTGCTGAGACGAGGGTCTTTTTTAGTTACAGCTTTCCAGCTCGAAGGATGGATGACTCGCCACGGGATTGGGTTGGAGTGAGGGGTGTGTCGTGAACACCAAGGTTCTGGTTTCCGGTTCGCTAAAGTTTCGGCCCGCCGCGAATCCCCCACAGTTGCTTGGTTTGTTGGAAATAGCTGTCCGAAAATCCCGTTGGCGACAGGTTCGTAACTCGGCGTGGTTTCAAAACCAATGTACACGCCCTCAGTGCAAACGATGAGAAACCCTAGTTTTGTGAACTGGGCCGTCTCGGTTTTGTCAGTTTCGAGTTTCTTCCAGCGACTCATATCTTGCATTCTGTCCCTGTTTCCCATTGTTCTCCGCCTCATGTTCCTCTATCAGGCACTACTATCGCTGTAGTCACTTTCGCCAACCAACCGAGTGTCGCGCGCGTCGCGTGGTCGATTTCCACAAGCACGACTCCAAGTTCCCACTCCGAATCTCCTTCTTCGGCGAACACAACCATCCGCCGCCGCTTCACCGCCCGCCGCAACCACTCGCAGCACCGCAGCAGAACCCTTCCGCCGCTGCTGCGCAGCCGGCTTCCGCAAGCGCGACCGTCGCACAGGCGTCTTCCGCTGGTGCATCCGCCCCCAGAAGCAGCCGCCACGCCGCGGATCGCCTCAGGCTCTCCCTGCCCGATGACGTCATCGGATCCACGCTGGCAGGCGGAGCTTCTGCCGCTTCTGCAGGCGGAGCTTCCGCCGCTTTTGCTGGCGGAGGCGGAAGCGGAGCGCGTGCTGCTGCGGCTGGATTTCAGCCTGGAGGCGGAGGCGGAGCGGGAGAGGGGGGAATTCAGGTGGGAATTCACGCAGGCCTCGGGGGAAGGCTGCCATACAGTCTAGCGGAACTTGAGGTTCTCGCTGCAGTTCTCCTTGAAGCCGCCGCCACGTCCGCCGCTGCAGGCAGTGCAAACGCGCCACTGGAGGGTTCGAGAGGCAGAGCTGACGCCACCGCCGCCGCTACCAATGCTGCCACTGCCACCACCTATCAAAGGGTGAGCGTTAACGAGCGCGCTTGTGCGTCAAGCGTTGGCGGTGGCAACGGTGGCGGCAGCATCGGTGGTAGCAGGAGCAGGGCGGTCGCAGCAGAGAGGGAGCATCAGCTTCTGGAATCGCTAGTCAACCTGCTGACGTCACCTGTGCCGTCACCGGGTTCCGGATCCGCCTCCCTCACCCCACGCCCTTCGTCTGCTCCCTCTCCTCGGGAACTCCACTCTCCCATGCAGACAGGCGCTCTGCTCTCCCCAGCATCGGCCGTTGCTGCGGTGTACCTTCACTGCGCCTCCTACCCGTCCTACCGCTCCTCTACTGCCACGTCACCCTCCAGCATGACGTCAGCCTCTGGGTCAATGCAATTCTCTCCACATGCTACAGGGCCTACTGTTCACACAGGGACACGATTTGGCTTACCATCCGCCTCCCCTGGTACAGGTGCGCCTTCCGCCACTGCAGCAAGCCAGCAGGGTCCCTCCTCCGCGCAGAGCCAGCAGCAGCTGGCGGCGGCAGCCATTCTCGCGCACCTGCTGGCCGCGCAGGCGCGGCAAAGCGCCTCCCCGAGAACCCCCAACCCCGTGCATGAAGCACACGGGGCAGCGCCAGCACCGCGGCAAGTGCGAGAAACACAAGGGGCGGCACCAGCACCGCGCTTTCTCCATGAGGCGCAAGGGAGAATGCACCAGCCGCACGTGGCTATGCAGCAGCCTTTGAATGTGGGTCAGGGTGGGTCGGTCTCCCCTCCCCGCCCTGCTCTTTCCTGCCCACCCGAGGGCCGACTTCCCGCCCCTCCGCCACTGTTCATCCCCCGCCCTGCCTCCTCCCCTGCCGAGTATTTCTCCGCCTCTGCTGCCATCTCCTCGCCACGTGGCACGAGTGTGAACTGCCGAGTCAGCACCTGGCCGCCAGCTCAGGAGCAGCAGGGCTCCCAGCCGTGGGCTGCGGGTCAGGGGTTTGGGGGTTGTGGAACAGCGTTGGATGGTGGGATGGGGGATGCGGAGCCGTGGCAGGGGGAAGGGGAGGGGATGGCGGCGGAAGAGGGAGGGGTGGCATGGAGTATGATGGAGGAGGACTGTGATGATGCTGGGGAGTTGCAGTTGCTGCAGCTTCAGGAGCTGCATCAGCTGCTAAAGAGGCAGGGAGAGCGGAGACATAAACAGAAACACGAACAGGAACGACTACAGCAGCAGCAGCAGCAGCAGCAGCAGCAGCAGCAGCAGCAGCAGCAGCAGCAGCAGCAGCAGCAGCATCAACAACATAATCAAGACCACCAGCTTCAGCAGCAGCAGCAGCAGCAGCAGCGGCAGCAGCAGCGGCAGCAGCAGTGGAGGCGGCAGCAGTTGCTACTACAACACCTGGAAGCGCAGCTGGATCCGTTCCCACAGCAGCAGCAGGGGCAGGCAGAAGCACCCGTGACGCCATGCACTGACGACCCTGGAGCAGCCCTCACCCCCTCCTCCTTCACTGCATCCGCATCCTCCCCGGCCATCTCCCCTGCTGGCTTGACCCCTGGACCATCCTCTTCTCCTGCTTTAACCCCCTCTTCCTGGTACCCCTCCGCCCTAACCCCCTCGGCTCTGACCCCCTCCGGCCTGACCCCGTGTGTTTTGAACCCGTCTGCCCTGACCCCGTCGTCGCAGCACTACCGCGAGCCGCCCTTCTCGGAGTTCCTGCGCCTGCCTGACATGAGCACCATCCAGGCCAGCCGCGCTGCCCGCCTCTCAGGCCATGCTCGCAGCAACAGCGGTGGCTTTGGCGGCCAGCCGCCGCAGCAGCAGCAGCAGCAGCAGCCGCTGCACCAGCAACAGCAGCAGAACCAGAACCAGAACCAGAACCAGAACCAGAACCAGAACCAGAACCAGAACCAGAACCAGAACCAGAACCAGAACCAGAACCAGCACCAGCAGCAGCAGCAGCAGCAGCAGCAGCAGCAGCAGCAGCAGCAGCAGCAGCAGCAGCAGCAGCAGCAGCAGCAGCAGCAGCAGCAGCAGCAGCAGCAGCAGCAGCAGCAGCAGCAACAGCAGCAGCAGCAGCAGCAGCAGCAGCAGCAGCAGCAGCAGCAGCAGCAGCAGCAGCAGCAGCAGCAGCAGCAGCAGCAGCAGCAGCAGCAGCATCAGCCTGCTAGCGGCTCACGGCGTTCTCATGGGCGTACGTTAAGTGCACCACACCCACAGGCATTACTTCCCGGTGAAACAGCCATCAGACCCAGCAGCGGTTCCACAGCTTCCCGCCCGATCTCGCCTCTTGCTCCCGCCTCTTCCTCCAGGCCGTTATCGCCGCTGTCTCAGCTCAGCACGTTCCGCCTGCCGTCCGCGCACCAGAAGCCTCCAGTGGCGGGGAATAAGAGGCCAGGCGATGCCGCGTCGCAGCAGCAGCTGCCCCCGCCCCGGCGCATGTCGCGGTCGGTCACAGCGCCTGCTGCATCTTCTCCAGCTGATGCAGCAGCAGCAGCAGCAGCAGTAGAAGCAGGAGGTGCTGCTGCCGCAGCAGCACCACCGCTGGCATCGCCGTCAGGCATGCAGCCCCCTCAAGCGCAACCAAAGATGTTGATTTCCGAGGATAACTCAGGTGCTCTGCTCGTTTCGTCCCCGTTGCTACCATTGGCTTCCACGGCTGACGCGAGTGGGGTTGGATTCGGAAGTGGGACCTTTCAGCTCTCTGACTCCAGTGTAATCGGTGCCAGTATGAGCGCAGAAGCAGCTTTCTCCAAGCTCCAGAGGCAGCTGCAGGAACAGGCTAAAACTGGCAACCTTTTTGCTTTCAGTAATGGATCAGCTTCAGCAGCAGCCGGTGGGGTGAGCAGGCAGCAGCACACTGCCACACATGTGAGCCCCTTTCTGGTTTCTGAGAGGCATAGAGGGACAGAGAGGGAAGCTGCTGGGGCTGGGGAGGGTAGTGTGTTGGTGCCGCAACCAGGAGTGCACCTTGCGGACCCAGGGACAGGAACAGCAGGAGGAGCAGCAGTATCATCAGCAGCAGCGTCTGCACTGTCCGGCTTGCTGCAGCAGGGGGATCTGACGAAGCTCATTGAGGCGCTATCACATGTAAAGGCGAGTGATGAGCAAGGCGGCAGGGAGCCATGGGTGACCACTGGAAGAAATCAGGCCCAGTCAGTCAATGCTGGCTCGGGACCTGCTTTTCCTCCAATGGAAACAGGCAGGGCGAATGGGGCAGGATCTAGCTGCTTGTTTAATAATCAGTCTGGCTCTTATGCTGCAGATGCTGCGTCAGGTGGCGAGGGAAACTTCCGGTTTGCATTTTCCGACCTGCCGAGTGTTTTTCACCACAGCCCTGATTCGCTGCAGAAACAGATTCAGGATGCCATGGATCAGCAGGAGCTGGATGCGGCCATGCTTGCTGCTGTCACTGCGGGAACCGTAGGCGCATCTGCGGGTGCAGGTTCTGCTGGGGAGATTACCATGGGCGAGAATGGGTGTAGTTTTTACGGGAGCAGCCAATCAGCTTCGCATTCGCAGTCAGGTGGATTTGGATGTGATGTTGGCACTGGGCAGCAGCAACATACATCTTGTGAAGAGCAGAATGGAGGCAGTTAGAATGCGCTGGCGATGATGGCGTTGCTGAGAACCTTGACAGACCCAGATGACCACATGACTCTAGATGGTTGATCACTGCCCGACACTGGTGGTTGATCACTTACTGCCCGGCGCTAAATGGCAGGTAATTGGTTGATTATTGCCCTGGATCACCTATTATTGGCAGTGGGTACTTTCAGCACTTGTACAGTTGTAACTGGTAGGTAATTGCTACTTGTATTTTTTTGCCTGCAAAACAAGCCATTATGGAAAACTTGCTGATGAATGTAACGAACACCTTGGCCTGCACATAGCATTGTTACTGGAGAGAATCCTTCCTCGCTTTGCTTACCATACAATCCCCAAGATTGCTGTTGATTGCCTGGATAAATTGTTCTTTTAGTCATTTGGTGGATACTAGCTGGTGAAAAGTCTGAGAAAATGCATCTTCCTTTACCTGCACAATCTAAGCCAGTTTCTTACAAACCAGCCAGCACAGAAATGTACTGCATTACCTTACATGGTTGAATCGGACTCTTGACTGGATGAAAGTACAAATGAAAAGCGGGTTGAGGGAGGAGGGCCCACAGAGTGAAGTGTCTTAGAATGCCCTCAAGCGGATACTGTAACCAAGCTCCTTTCCGGTCAGACAAACATAATCTGTAGACAAGCTTTTATGAGAAACAATGAATCAGGAGACTATGAGGCAACTGGCAAGCCAGTCGCCAGCAGTTGCTTTAGAATCTGGAGCTAGCACAGATTTTCCTATAATCCCTCTCGTTTGGCAACACAGGAGCTAGCACTGCACATACCACGAGCCTCCACGGGTCTGCTCTGGAGGGAGCATACGACAGAGGCATTAGCGCTTGCTCTTGTCCCGTCTCCGCCGCTTCTTCTGCTTGTGTTTGTTCATCTTCTTCCTCCGTTTCCGCTTCACGCTGCTGGCCAGTAGCGGCACCGCGCTCCCATTCCCTGGACTCTCGTGCAGACCGTCTCTCACGCGAGCAGCGGAAGGAACGGAAAGAGCTGGAATGCTAAAAGAAATGGCCGAGGAATCTGGCACCGGAAAACCCAGAGGAGAGAGTCTTGCAGCAGAACCAGGTGAAGCATATATCCACCAGCTCGGTGAGTTTCGAACAGGCTGATATGAAACTAAGGCACTGCCAGAATCGAACTTGAGACCTCCTTGTAACGAATCGTTCCTAATGGTCCGTTCCTGCCAGAGATCACGCAATCGGACGGCGGAGAACCCGCTGCGATGAAGATCGGGTTGGTAAGTTCCCAATCGTTCTAAATCAGACGCACAAGCTGCAAAGGCGCGCTGATTCCTCGCAGCTGCTTCGCCTACGGTTTGAACGCGTCGGCACGACGAAGACCATCGTAATAGCAGCTGACCTAAGGCAATGGCGGGTCTTCGTCCGCGCTCCATTGCGACGAGTGCTAACGAGTCAGGGGAACTACATAGTAGGATGAAACAGAAAATGACACGAGCGTGAAATGGCCTGGCGGGGCTAGGAGGAAATCGCTGGATGACTCCTCTAGTGGAGAAACGCAATAATTAAGTAATTTGTAAGGAAAATTCCTTTTCCTTACTTCTCGTCCCCGCTCAGCGCGTACACCACTATAGCACCACAGTCAGCACCATTACCACTCGCAACTCTCGCATCGACAATCCTCCCGCGACCTTCGCACGTCGCACCTCGACCTCACGGCTCGGCGGGTAACCGGCGCTCCAGGCCTCCGCTTCGACATTTTCTCCAACCTCAGTTCCAGGCCCGTCGCGCGACAACAACAGTCCATTACCGTTACCACTGTAGTTTCGCTATATATTCTTCGCTCATGCCTTCGCTCATTGTACTCTTGCTTCGATAGTGCAATTCTCGCTCGCTCACTCAATTGCACTCGTAACACTTGGCATCAGAGCCTACGATCTCTTCTCGAGCCGCACCCACACCTTCGCTTCCCCACTATCTCAAATTTTTTTTTGGGGGGGGGGGGGGGGGGGGGGGGGGGGTAGTGAGAAGAAACGAGAATGAATGACTAAGGAATGAAATTGATACAAGTATGCAACCCTAACATTGTGTACCCCATATAGGCTACCCCACTACAGCCTACACAACATTATAATCTGACACACCCCCATAGGCAAAGTGGGGGATAACAAGCGGTCACAAGACCAGTCAAGCAAAGCAAAGCAAGCTCAGGGTGGATCACAAAGTCACCACACATTCCGAGCACAAGTTCAAGGCCACAAGGCCAGTTCACATGCAGGAGTACACATATATATAAAAGGCTAGACAAGCAAGAGCAGGTGTAAGTATATGTAACAGTACAAGCAAGGTCAAGAGGTGAGCAAGTGAGGCAAGGCAGGCACAAGACCCAGCTGAGTACAGAAGCGCTGATGATCACAAGGCGCAAGCGCATTGGTGAAGATATCAGCAGTGTTGGCCTCAGAGGCCGCGTACGCAAGACGCAGCTGACCACGCTGCTGCAGCTCACGAGCAAAGAAGTAGCGAAGAGCAATGTGCTTTGTTCTGTGCTCCAGTCTCTGCTCTCGACACAAGGCCAGCATAGCCTTGTTGTCTACGTACAGCACTGGAGGAGAACGAGGCACCTCTCCAAAGTCAGACAGCAGGTAGGTGAGCCAGCGAAGCTCCTGTGCAGCCATGGCCCCGGCGTAGATCTCAGCCTCACAACTGGAGCCGAGTACAGAAGACGAGCGGGTAGCTCGCCACGAAACAGAGCCGGAACCAAGACTGAAGGTGTAACCCTGTGACGACCGCAACGTAGCCTGGTCGTTCGCCCAAGTAGCGTCTGCGTGCCCAGTAAGGACCACTGGACTCCGTCCTCCAAGCACAAGCCCCATGCCAGACGTACTGCACAAGTAGCGCAACACCCTCTTCGCTGCAGTCATGTGCTCCGGTCTGTTTCTCCCAGGAGCAACATAGCGTGCGAGAATGCTAAGAGGGTATGCAAGGTCAGGTCGAGTGCAGGTCATCAGGTACATAAGGCAGCCAACAAGCTCTGGGTATGGGCCACTCGACTCTACGGACTCATCCGAAGGCAGAGCTGAGAGCGAGTGGCGAGTAGGCAGAGGAGTGGCCTGAGGCGAGGAGTACGTGAAGCCGAAGCGCTGAAGGACCCACTGCACCATGTGTGACTGAGTCAGGGTAATGGTGTGGCGTGCTCTGTCCCGGGTGATCTGCAAGCCAAGATAGCTGCGCAGTTCACCCAGGTCTGTGCACGTGTGTCTCTTCTGCAGCTCGGACTTCACGTGAGCGAGTCCAGCACTGTCAGCTGCGGTAAAGACCAAGTCGTCGACGTACACGAGGATGTAGAACGGCGGCAAAGAAGTGTCGGTGCGTAGAAACAACGACGGGTCGGCAGTAGAGGGAGCAAACCCAAGAGCCGCAAGCGTAGTCCTCAGTGTGTCGTGCCACTCACGTGGTGCCTGGCGGAGACCGTAGACTGGCCGCCGGAGGCTCCACTGGGAGCCAGGAGGAAAAGTCCCAGTGAAGCCAGGTGGGCGGCGCAGCCAGATCTCCTTGTCAGAACATCATAGCTTATGCTTTTGTGTAGGCTGTAGTGGGGTAGCCCATATGGGGTATAACCCAATTAGGGTTAGTAATTGTACCCAACTGTTTCATAGTTCATCCATTCTCGTTCACATTTTCTCATGGTATCGAGCAGGTTCCCCCGTGGGAACTGTGCCTAGGGCCCACCACATCGACCTTTTTTTTCTTGCCCGAAGCGCACTCCGCCCGAGTCGTACTTCGTCAAGCCGCCCTAGCGGCCCTTTCCCCTAGCGGCC